TGTGCGTTGTTCTTTCTGTTATCAGAACGGATACTATGGCAGGGTGCTTTAAAACAGGTATTAGAACGTCATGTACCGTTAGGCATGCACCAGTTGAAAACTGGTGTTAGGGCTTCCATAAAAATTGTTATAAGTCGGCTATAAAGAATTACTAACAGTCGCGGAACCTCTCATTTTGTAGAAAAATATTTGCGCTTGAAAACTCAACTGTGGAAAAATTTGAAATAATTTCTAACAGAAATATGAGCATTCTAAAATGCACTAAATACAGAAAAAAAACCTGTTCGAATAGTTCTTTTTTTTAACTTTAGTGTATTTTAGAATGTTCATATTTGTATCACAGATAACGCTGAAGTTTTTATACTTATATGGGATTGTAGTTCAGACATTTCTCTATAATATGACAGATTCCGTAACTCTGAGTAATTCTTTATAGCCGACTTATAACAATTTTCATGGAAGCACTAACACCAGTTTTAAACTGGTACATGCCTACATACCATTGTTAAACAAACACAATAATTTTTCAGAACGGAAAATAGCTCTCTTGTATCCAGAAAAATCTACTTAAAAGTATCTATTTAGTCACCTATGTCTTTGTAGACTAATCCAAGATTGTTGTAAAATGCTGAGATTTTGGCTTCGTCTGAAGAACTCTCATTCAGCAACATAATATAGTATTGCTCTGCTTTGACATATTCATCCATCTGCCGCAGCAGCAGACCTAAACTGTTCAACTAGTTTCAACTAGTTTCATTTCTTAGCTGTTCAGTGAGCTGTTTCAGCTCTTCATTTTCTTCTCCAGTCATGACTAATTGCACATTCCAGATGTTTGAGTGATCTTGCAGTCCCACTGATTCAATTCGAAATACCGTTCCCATTGAGAAAAAGATTTCTTCCTCATTTCTCATATAGCTGAGATGCGCCATGTTTGAGAACGGTTTGATACATTTCGAAACATCAATATCCATTTCAAACAGAACCGATACGACACCATCTCAATCTAATGATTGCCGAGCAAGCCCAACACTAACAGCCCTGCTTGTACTAGTCGACACGAAACTATTCATCGATAAAAAGCCGGCTGTATTGTTCTTCATCTTCTGAAACTCTTCTAGTATCATGCCTTGTCCACCATAAACAGTTAGTGTTGATTCTTCGTCATTGGACTGTGAGTGCAGTGCGGCAAGTTGATCGTGAAGGTCTTTAATGAAGAAGCGAAAGAGAATGTCCGTGCCTTGCACGCACAGTGCTTTGTTCAACATTCGATACAGGAAGCACTCTCGCGTGTACCACCAGATTGCTTGCTGCTTTTGATAGTTCTTGTCGAACTCATCAATAGTCGTCAGCTCTGCTTGATTATCTTCATACTGTCTTGGACATTCATCGATCATCGATCATCTCTTGTTCAGATGTATGAGTGTTCTTCAGTCCAAACAGAATCTCGATGAGCAGCTGAGAGTACATGAATGATGCTTCTTGTCTGTTGTTGTTTGTGTTTGATGGTGATGACGACATGATATTCATTATAGAGTTAAAGTTAGATACTTTAGTTCCGTATTTTATTATGTACACTGAAGAAGGCCTCAATTAAAAGAGGTCGAAACGTTTGTTGTTTTTGTTAAATTTTAAAAATTAAATAAAATTAAAATTAAAATACGGAACTAAAGTATCTAACTTTAACTCTGTTATATATCTAATCCGTATCGACCAATAGTTATACTCTCAATATGATATTCACTGGTATCATCGTGTCCTTCAGACAAATGCGGACGTCTTTGCTCAACACTTCGCAAATATGCTTTATGTCTGTGTGGACACCATGCACCTTGGGGAAGTGGCTGACCCACTTCGCGTGCCACTGTTTGTTGGAGCAGAATATGTAGATGCATTCAATTTGTTTCATATCGTGTATGAGTGGGACCAGTGTTTGTTCAAATGAAACCGACAAGATTAAAAGATGTTTTCTGTTTGCACAGTGGATATGAAATCAATACATTCGTCAGCATCGCGCACCTGTGGCCAGCAAGTGCCGAACTAGTGCCGATTGGCACTCGTGCGCACCAGTATCGATATATCTCTGCCGAAAGAGTGCCGCACTGGCAAAAATCAGTGCCGCATGGATGCTGCATTGGCAATAATCGGTGCCGCACTGATAATTTATTTAATCAATTTAATTAGTTCTTTATTATGGTTGTTTATGCTGAATTTTGTATTAGAGTGCGGCACTGATCAGTACCACATCGACATGTCAAAACTATGCGACATTGCCTCAGCATTTCTCTTATGAGAAGGAAAAGATGAAGTCAGAAAGACATTCGAAATATTAGAAGTAGACTGTAGCGTTAATATAGACAGAAATTGACAAAACAAAATGTTGATTGAAAACAAAACTTCGGTACTGGTGCGCACCGGCGTGAGATTTTAACATTCTTTCTGGCACCGATGCGCACCGGTGCGCACCCGTGCACAACCAGTGCCGATAAAATATTTTTTTGTAGAGTTGTTTTCACAATTTCGTCGTTGATCAGTGTCGGTCAGTGGAGTTGTATCTGCTTGAGATTTGTGTTGTAGGTTCTGGGTGGTTGGGTGCCTGCACAGCTTGGATTTGATTCTCAGTGCATAGCTGTGAGTGTTTCATGTCTAAATGGAGATATGAAAATATATGAATATTCGTTGAAGAAAGAGATATGTGATTTCGTTTCTGATCAGACTGATGGGTGGGAAGTAGAGCATCTTGATGAACAACAACTAACACTTGATCAACACATACAGATTTTAGTTGTTTTTCGTGTCTGTGAAAATAATCTTCTATAGGAGGAAGAGTTTTTTGGAAGCAAAGCAAAAAATTTAGTTTTTGTGGTAATGAGAATTTTCGTTTACTTTTGCTTCTGGTCTTCCCTTCAAGAAGATTGAAATCGGCGAGCAATAGAGAAGAAAGCTAAGAGTCGCTAGAAAAGTATTTTATAAAGCAGAAAGCTTTAGTCAAAAATAGAAAAAGATTTAACAAGGCGGCAGAAAGCGTTTACTAAACCCATTTTTAGGGATTTAGTAAAATGCAATGACACGCTACCGCTTTCAGGTTTAGTAGACTACTAAAACCCTAAAAGGGCTCTTTACTAAACTGTTGAAGCGGTAGTGTGTCACTGCATTTTACTAAACCTAAAAGAGATTTAGTGAAAAAAAGTCAGTATTTTGTTTAGTGTGTATGCCTGGTATCTGGTTACATGAATACCTGGTTACAGAATATAACAGTAGAATACTGTACGAAAAGAAACGCGGAACGCGGCAAAAAAGGGATCCATAGCGAACTTTGTTGTTGAGAGAGGTCCTGTACGGAACTCTTCTTTTGCAAAGGTTCGATATCGAACCACTTGAATGGTACTGAAACATTTGTGACTAGAATCTTTTATCCGAAAGAAAAAGCAGGTTTGAGACAGAACCCTCGTTTGGCTTGAATCTTAAAAGGTTCTATCTGCCACCGTTTTTTTTAGAGGGTACACGATGATTTATATGTAAGAAGAATGGCCTGAGATTCTAGCGAAGGTATGCGGATGATACACTCACACTACTAGAATTCAATGCCGTTCTTGATAATAGTTTCTTGTTGTTAAACGGGTTTCTTCGATTAGCACAAAGTAAGTTTGACTCGACATTATCAATAAAACAAAGTTGGAAATACATCAGAGGATGGTGAAAATAAGAACATGTCGTATTCTCGGCTCCACACCTTCAGCCTTATTAAGAAGAACTCTATTCTTGTGTTACATTCGGGCTCTCCTTACGTGGTAGTTTTATTTGTTTCCTTTCTTCCCGAACAATATATTCGAAAGAAGTGTTTTTTCTGCAAACACTTATGCTTTCTTGAAAAGCATCAGAGATGACTAACCAACCAATGGTAATTATTGCTGAAAGAATGACTCACGAGCAAAAAGTTCTGATGTCTGCCTGCTATTTGCAAAATTCTCACTGTGGATCGACCGACTGGAATAGATTTTGAAACGCTCTCTAAAAAGGACAAAAATTAAAAGCGATATGTTATAGGAGATACCGTAAAATCCATCAATAAGTAACTAATAACAATTTTAGTCTAGGATATGGTTAGATGGTTGACGACTGTTCTATAATAGGCGTGAGAATAACTCTTGTGCTTATGACGGGATCTGCTAATATTGAGAATGTTCGTATGCAGCAGAGATTTTTGAGATGTGCAATGTAATCAACTTTAGGGAATTTGAAAATTTACAACCCCCGAAGTATACCTCTTTAGAAAAAAAGATTAAATTAATGCATGAGTTTCATAGGATGAACAGTTTCATTTCGATAAGAAATGAAAGATAAGACAGAATCCTATGTAGTTTTCCGTTGATGAAGTTTTTCTTTTGCAAAAACCTTACATTTTTTACATATCTGATATTGTAATCAAGCTAAAAAGATAGAATGTAGTGAAATATGTTCTCAAACATATATACTTTACGCTTTTTATGTTTTACAATATCTTATAAGTACTTTACAATCTCGTCCAATTGTAAAAGCAATCCTTTTTGGAAAAATAGTTTATTTTAAAGTCCTAGCCAACTATTTTATGCGTGTATGTGTAACTGACATCGGTAAACAGAAAGGACAATTAGGTCAGTTATAGAAATAAGTGTGTGAGAAATGAAAAGATATTTTATTCTTTGTACAGAAGTGGTGAGAAAAAAGAAAAAGAAAACAATGTTCATGGATATGTAATTAATCGTAGACAAATACACGAGTAGAATATAGTAGACTATATCGACGTAATCAATTATTCATGGTGTTATTTTTATTACATAGCCTTTCTATATACTGGTTCACCGATTAAAATTCATATACTTTTGCGTCCTATTTAACATCGCAAATTCCATCGTTTTTACCGGTAACTCTTGCTCAACAGTCTAACAAGTATATATTTGAACGAAAATTTTCATATAAAACATAGATATCAACAAATTACGTGTCTCTTCAATTATCATGAATTAATTATCAATGCAATTTTGTGTTTGACAAATGTTTGTTTTTATTGTTTTTGCAGCCGTTTTTTGTCTGTAATATTGCAATAATGCTGGTATATGTTGTTTATTCTCAAATTGTTTTAATGTCTGAAGTGAACGTTTGAAAAAATCTTTATCCAATTGAATAACCATTGCGTCTTGTCTCTCAACTAATGTTCCATATTGAATATGTTCACTAAATAAATGACAGACTTTTTCTAATTTAAAAAAAACAGCTGTTTGACACATATCATCATACTGACAATATTTGGCACAATTCAAACGATCGATGGCTATCGATGATTGAATAAAAAAATTTGAATGAGATGGAAAATAGTCTTTATGATTGTGGATGATTCCAGTAGAGCTGGTAAGCGTTGAAGGAGGAGTCTCTGTTGAAACAACGGTCGATAATAGAAGCACACACCAAAAATTATTAGTTAAAAGACTTTTCATTCTGCAAAAAAATTGTTTCGTGATTAATAAAAATATATCGTTTAGTCGAATGATGGGTAATTCAAAGTGTTTTTAACACTTTATCGATAACGAATTTGTAGCTATTTATTACCTTCTAATTAACCAATCTCAATTGCAGTGTTCAGTCAAAGCTGCACATACTCGTCATTCTATATTTTATTAAATTTTCTTTCATCAAAAGAAAAAAAAATGAAATAAAATAAAATGATGGGTAACATCAGAAATTCCTTTTGTTTTTCTCTGCCATCGTTTTTTAGAATGATTCAGTCTTGTTCTTTTACACTATCATTCAAACTATTTTTTTCTAAAATAAAAAAAACAGAATTTCTGTGTCTATTTTCAAATGTTCAAAACACGTCAGTGGAGTCTCATGTTCTATATCCCGTTTTGCACCAAAATATATCCCGATCGAGGTATAGCCAAAGAACATATATCCCAATCGGGATATAAATTCGATTTTTTTAAGTAAAAGTCATTAGCAAAACAATTTTTGCACACGGCAGGGACATGCAGTGAAATATTCAGGTAAAGTCATCCTCGTCAATCGCTATTGGTTGATTGAGTATCATATCGCAGTCGATGTTCAAACTCTGAATGAACGTTTGTCGAGAAAAAAAATGTTTTTCTTTTTGGACATAGAGTATATTTTCTCAAAAACTAAATTTTTCCAATGCCGAACAAACATCAGCATCATCTTAGTGTTGCAGTTAGGTTCACTTAACGTGAGAAAATGCATATTTCAAGTCCCGTGTTTTTGTTTTTGTAACTCTGGCTTGCCAGCGGAAGTATCACGATCAAAAAAAACGTTTCGTTTGTCTGAACATGAATTCTAGCAAAAACTTTGCAATATCTTCTGTCCCAGTCCAGATGAGTCAGAAATTTTGAAAACAAAAGAAAGATCAGATTAAAAATCCATTCCCTTTAAGGAGCTCAAAAAACCTCCCCTCATCGATATCCGTCACATAAAATTAAGCCAAACTTACTGTTTTAATTAATGTCTCACGACATTTGTATTTACTTTGAGCTCGTTTAACCCGGTCGTTTTGAATGTTGCCTTTATAGGGCCCGTATGATGTTGTTTATTCTATGACCCAGGCACAAAAAAATCGTTAGAAACGGCAAAGAACGAATTTTTTTAAAAACACGTTACGAAACTCCCGTTTTCTGTGGGATACAACGCATGTAAACGCCTTTCATAACGTTTGTTTCATTTTCCGTTCTCACGCGTTTTTCAAAAACAGTCTTTTGAACACCTTAAAAACGCGTTACTTTTGCGTTAAAAATGTATAAAAAACGCGGTTATAAACGTTCTAGAACGCGTTCCGTAAGGCGTTCCAGATGAAACATTTAACGCGCTTTTTGATCGTTAAAAACGGAATAAAAACGCGTTTCGGGATCGAGTCAGCTACTCCTGAATCGTTCCAGAAGTGCGTTTCATAACGTTTGTTTCATTTTTCGTTCTCAAGCGTTTTTAACGGTTGAAAAACGCAACTAATCATTCACCGTCTTGTTTTGCGGTCAGCCGACTATATAAGCACAATCGAAATATCGAAAAGATATCATCGTTTTTTCGTTCTTTTTCAGTTTTAGATCATCAGTTTTGTACTTCCTTTATTATAGATTTTCACTACTTTTAGATTAAGTCCCACTGATTAGCCAAGTCTCATCTTTGGCTTAACAAACATTCTGGAACGATTCAGGAGCTGCAGACTTGATCTCGAAACGCGTTTATATTCCGTTTTTAACGATCAAAGAACGCGTTAAATGTTTCATCTGAAACGCTTTACGTTCTAGAACGTTTAAAAACGCGTTTTTTTGTACGTTTTTAACGCGAAAAGAACGTGTTTCTAAGTTGTTCAAAAGACCGTTTTAACACGTTTTTCTTCGTTTCAAATGAAACAAAAACGCGTTTGGGGCCAATTTTTTTATGCCTGGGGACATGAAGTTTTTTTAAGGCCAATAATGATAATTATTCTTTTCTTTATTACTTAATAATGATAAGAAAAGCTGCGTTGAATAAACTTTTACTATCGATACGAGTGTTTCTATGTTATACTGTGCTCCTGATGATTTTCTTGTTTTCCTTCCATATGTTAGCAGAACAAATAGTATATGGACATAGCACTGATGCAGAGGTGCAGAATCTACCAGCGTGCGGTAACGGTCGATTGGGGATATTTTTTGGGCCTGGAGAAAGTTTTGGAAAATTACGGGGTATAGAAAAAAATTTTGGGAAAAATTAATTTTTTCGAGCATACACGCTAAACAGAGAAGCCTTCTTAATTATTTTTCCAGTCGGGAAAATTTTTCAGAAAAACTCCACCGTTCGGGGAAATTTTTCATTTTAGCGCCATATATCCTGATCGGGATATGGTTCCACACTGTATGTGTACATGATGTGAACAGGTTAGAATCGACGTGATATTTCATGTCATTTCTTACAAATATTATTCAGTCTATGCGCGAAAAAAAGTTAGATTAAACTAGACTGAATTTAACTACTGTAACCATATGTAAAGTGGTCATCTAGATGCGGTTAGATTTAATCTAGCGGAAAGCGAGCACTACGGCTAAATTCTCATTTATTTAGTTTTGATCAAATGAACGTCTGTCGTGATTTTCTATCGAATACCTTCGGTACACCGTGGATTACCGGTCATTCTTTACTGATAAAAATAAAAATATCGCTGGTAAACCGACGATGTTTTACTATGTGCGACCGGACATTCGTATAGCTTATACTTAACTTTAACTGAAATCTAATTTTCTCATGTCAAAGAAACCATTGGTGTTTCACTTTTTCTATCTTTTTCCCATATTTTAAACTCAGAATGTTCTTAATAAACGTTTTGGAAAACAAACGAAACCAAAATAAGTTAAATAGCAGATTTGAACCAGGAACCTGTTCATTACGAGATTCAGAAAAATACTCTTCAATACAATAGATATCAGTCGGTTTTCTCCCCCACTCTTCTTCTCGCTAGATCTTCTGGAGGGATTTCCCAGTTCCCAACACTTGGGCAGATGGTGGAACAGATGTGATGTTTAAACAATCATGACATTCATTTTTGAACAATCAATTGAAAATCATGACGTTCATCTGAAAACGCATTGACTATGTCTGTCTGTCTGGAAAATGTATAACGAGATATTTGAGAATCTTACAAAAACTTAAATATGTTTCAGACTTTTAAAATGTTTTCTAAAGGTATTAATTGAGTATACAGCATAGTTCTCGAGTTGTACAATCGATTGGTATTATTCAAATTAATTGTACAGGTCTCTGGAAAAATCTGTCGCTAAAACGTCAAAATTCGGCGCTAGAAGATTCAACTTTTCAGTGTATTTTAATCTTTTCCTAATGAAGTTCAGGTTTTGAAATAGTTCAATTGGGTGTACACTGAAAATAATTGATGCTGAACATTGTACACTGTAAAAAATAAAGTGTGCCCGTAGATGTGTAAAAGTTCTAAGTGTGCAAATGCGAATCAAACTGGTGTGTTTTTTTCTAGGTGTGTAAAAGTCTCTCTATATTCGCAGGTGTGTAAATTTTGCCAGTGTGTTTCTGGCACATCACATCGTGCATTCTAGATGTGCAAATGCGAATCAAAGTGATGTGTAAGTTAAGTGTGTTTTGGGCACACGTTATTTTTTACAGTGTATAGTTGTCATTTTTTATTGCACACATCGTCAAAAAAATATCAGGGTAAATTTCTAAAGTCTCCTGCTAACTTCACCTACATGGAAATGAGCATTTCTTTTATCCAATAAGTAAAAAGCAGAACAAAGGAAAATGCCAACATAAAGCCGGATTTTTTTTCAAAAAGAGCATTATATTGTTCGCATCGCAGGCGTTTACTTGGAATTATTCAAGTGGCTCATTTTTTTTACTTCCCTTTTTGTCCGTTCTTTCTTATAAGAATTCAAAATTTCTTAATGCATTATACAAAGCAGTAACCGCTCATTTCGAAACAGAAGAAGAAAAGAGAACAAAAATAGTGTGGAGTGAACCTTCGATTGTCATCACACATCACTATGGTCATAGGCCTCATACCAACAGCAGACGACAATAAAAGTCCAGCACAGGTTCCGCCCGGTGACGGTGCTGGTAATACAGACAGAAAGTTGTTAGTTCACCGCTCAAGAGCAAATGACGACGTATTATCATCTCGTCCTTCTAGTCGACAAGCTGCAGTGACGGAAATAACATCATTAGACCTGAGACGCCCGATGACTACCGCCACTTCTGCAATTCGAAAACGACATTTATCATCTCACGATCCTAATCGGGTCGATAAAGAGCTTAATCATCACTATGTGGATCCATTTGAAATCTATCGTGCACATCCTAATCGGGTCGATAAAGGGCTTAGTCATCACTATGTGGATCCATTTGAAATCTATCGTGCACATCCTAATCGGGTCGATAAAGAGCTTAGTCATCACTATGTGGATCCATTTGAAATCAAACGTGCACATCCACCAGATGATGCTAGTAGCGAAAAACATAAGCATAAACATGGACGTCACCAGGCGACGCAAACAGATCTACTAGACGCCGAATTTAAAGAATTTCTACGTTTTCGACAAAAGAAAATTGAAATGAAAACTGTTTCTGTACAAACAGATCTGTTAGGCACTAACATTGTGGTAAAAACAGATCCTTCGGCATCGATCAAACGAAAAGAATCCGTTGCAAGTTTCGAATCTGATTATTCTACGTCGGACTTTCTGCCATCTTCTTCAGACTCATTTTCACCTGCTTACACTGTATCTGAAAAGCAGGATGACAGTGAAAACAATGATGATGCTTCCGAAGCTACCACACAGAAAGTATCCACTACGAAAAAAGGACAACAGACTAACCGTCGTGATGAAGGTCTTCCATCAGCTATTTCAACTCCCCTAATTACTCCATCCATAGTCAGCACTGCTGAGCAGCTCGATAACACCGCCAAACCAGTGCACGCTACGCACATCTCAGATGCATTTAGCACCGAATTGTGCAGTTTACGACAAAGTGCTATCGATAACAGATCATATCGAATGGTAGTGGATTCATGGAAACCTACATCAATGAGTCAACTAATTAGTTTAGTGAAAGACTATTCGACTGGTAAAAATCTGGTTGAAAAAGCATGGCTTATTTTCTATTGGATTTCACAAAATATTGAATATGATACTGAATCATATTTCAGTGGTAAAATACCCCATAAAAGTGCGAACGATGTGTTTCTTTCAAAGAAAAGTGTTTGCGGTGGTTTTGGAAGTATTTTTGAGCAGTTGTGTAATGGAATCGGACTAAAATGTGTCAAAATCAGCGGATATGCTAAAGGTTATAGCTATCAGACAAAGAAAACATTCGACCGTACAAATCATGCATGGAATGCTATTGAAATTGGACGTTTTTGGTACTTGGTTGATCCTACATGGGGTGAAGGATATTTGCAGGAAAAGCAATCAAAGAAAAAACTTATACCATACTACTTTCTTGTTCGACCAGAACACTTGGTCTACACCCATTTACCGGAAGATAGTAAATGGCAGTTACTCCCTCAACCAATAAATATGCAACAATTTCTCGATTTACCCGAACCGTGGCCAGCGTATTTTGAACTGAAATTAGAACTTGTGACCAAAACTCCAACAGGCAACGTCCACTTAAAAGAAAATCATTCATTCGTTAAAATTGTATTACGTTGTCCAGCAGACGTTCATCTTCTTTGCTCAATAAAGCAAAAGGAACAGAAGGTAATCGGCGGTGATCTTATACAATATGATCATGTAAAGAATGTGTGGGAATGTTTGTTTGCACCGAAGCTTGGTGGTCTGCATGAACTGATGATCTATGCCAAAAAACTTGGCGCAAAGGGCAGCTTCGAAGGTGCAATAAGATTTACATTGAATGCACCAATTGAATTGAAACCTTGCATATTTCCAATAACATATAATTCATTTGTGGAAAAAAACTGTAGAATTTACGCACCACTCGAAGGTGTTCTTAAAAGTGGATCTAGAGTTACCATACATTGTCGTATTCCAGGCGCAAAACGAGTACGCTTGATATTAGATGATAAGACATGGTTGTCTGAAGATGGATATGCGGATGGCATACTAAAGCGAGAAATAACAGTTCCGAAAAAAGAAGTAACAATAAATGTACAATACGGCAATGAATCAAATTATACTACGTTGGTTAAGTACACTGTTAAATGAGCTGACATAACTTATTAATCGAAAAGGTATCTGTGCAAACTATCTAATTCGATAAAAGATGAGTTTTAAATATATATATGCGTTGCTTTTCTTCAAAGCGCTTTAATCTCTTCGAGGGTTGCGCAGACTGACATGTCACTATAATTGGGCGCCTTCTTCATTTTTTGAATCATCGAAAACCACTATAGATGATTAATAATTTCCTAATGTATTACGTAAAATTCATTCTAATATATGATATTCGGTGCACTGTATCGGTAGTGCAGCTGAATCGCCGATCGGAAAAACGCATCAGTTTTCGAAAAGTGGCGTGAGCTGATATAACTCGACTTCTATTCTTGTAAAGCGTCTGATGCTGAGACAAAAACGTGAATACCAGAAATTCAGTATATGAAACTCTTGTTCAACTGTTAGAACAATTTCAATGCTTACTGGAACAACTATTTTTCATCTAAATTTGACAGGCACTCTCTACCGATCCTAGTGGCAGACGCTGCTAAAGTATCACAGCAAATGTCATAGTATGCTGTCCATAAGTTGAATGAAAGTGAATATTACTGTTTGGAAATCCGGACCTTCTCATAGACGACATTAGTGAAACAGAAGAATATTGCAGCCAGGAATCTGTGTCTCTATCAACCCTTGTTTGATGAACGGGCCAGGCATAGATCTTCTTTTGCTTTTTCCTGTGGAGACCATTTTAAGCTCATAAATTTATGCCTTTGGATGACGCCAAAACGAGACGTTTATTAGCCATAAATACCAAAAAGGGTCTGTGAAGAAATGTGAAAATGAGCATTTCTTTTATCCAATAAGTAAAAAAAAAAAAGAAAAAAAAGCAGAACAAAGGAAAATGCCAACAACAGAAACTTAAATATTTTTCAGACTTTTAAAATGTTTTCTAAAGGTATTAATTGAGTATACACCACTAGAAATAACCCGTGGAAAACCATGGACGCCCAGCATTTATATATGTTGTAAAAATTTTCTATGTTAAGCGTTCCGGACAGATATGTGTATATTCTTATTCTTATATTCTTATAATTCTTATATTCTTATTCTTATTCTTATATTCTTATGTATATATGTTGAGCGTTCCGGACAGACAGACAGACGGACAGATATGTCTTGACTATTCTTATGTATATAGTTGTATAATCGAGTTGTATAATCGATTGGTATTATTCAAATTAATTGTACAGGTCTCTGGAAAAATCTGTCGCTAAAACGTCAAAATTCGGCGCTAGAAGATTCGACTTTTCAGTGTATTTTAATCTTTTCCTAATGAAGTTCAGGTTTTGAAATAGTTCAATTGGGTGTACACTGAAAATAATTGATACTGAATATTGTACAGTTGTCATTTTTTATTGCACACATCGTCAAAAAAATATCAGGGTAAATTTCTAAAGTCTCCTGCTAACTTCACCTACATGAAAATGAGCATTTCTTTTATCCAATAAGTAAAAGGCAGAACAAAGGGAAATGCCAACATAAAGTTGGAGTTCAAGAGCAAATGACGACGTATTATCATCTCGTCCTTCTAGTCGACAAGCTGCAGTGACGGAAATAACATCATTAGACCTGAGACGCCCGATGACTACCGCCACTTCTGCAATTCGAAAATGACATTTATCATCTCGCGATCCGCCTTGGCTCATTTCCAAATGCATGGAAGTGTGGTTACCTCAATGCCCTCTTTAAATCTGGCGATCAGCATGATCAGAGAAACTATAGGCCTATAACTCTTTTGCCCATTCTATCGAAAATATTTGAAAAGTTAATTTATAAGAAGTTAAATAGCTATTTAGTTGGCAATAATCTGTTGAATAAGAATCAGTCTGGTATCAGATATCGGGACTCATGTGTAAATCAGCTTTTATCTATTATTGATCATATATACAGGGGTTTTGAAACAAAGCAATGCATTCTATCTGTTTTCTTAGATTTTTCCAAAGCTTTTGATTCAGTTTGGCATAAAGACCTCTTACATAAGTTGGCAGCAAAAGGAATACCTGAGCCCTTAATTAAGTGGTTTGAAAGTTACTTGAATGAAAGAGAAATCGTGACTATGGTAGATGGTCATTATTCGTCAGTACGTCGCATTAATAGAGGGGACCCTCAAGGATCTGTGTTAGGTCCCTTACTTTTTCTAGTGTACATTGATGACTTATGTGATAATCTAATAAGTGTCACCAAATTATTTGCTGATGATGCATCACTGCATATAGCAGACAATAATCTGCCTCAAATGGCTAATCCCTTAAGGGCCTCCCTCCCCCTCAGAAATTATCTCCGACCCCGTGCATCCGATCTTGACGAAACTTTCCATAAATGTTCGGCACAATGAGTTACGGGAATGAAAAAATTTTTTTGTCTCCAAGTCTTACGGTTTAGGAGTTTTCCAGAGATC